AACACAAAACTGCGTACAATATCAGCATAATTCAAAACATCTGCAGCACACACACATGAATACACGTATTCCCTCACAAGGGCTTGCAGTTCACAAAGGAAAATCCTCTGCTGAGATTTCAAGACATTTGGTGCAATAAATTAGTTATTGCCTTCTGAATGGTTCTGAATGGCAATACAATGCATTGTAACCTGCTCAGTTTTCTCTTTTGTTTGAGAAGACCTTGGCAAATAAGAACATTTGCTTTAGAAAGTTAATTTATAGCCACAATTTATGCATGCTTATTTAGAAATAAATCCCACAATGTCCTTTGAGAATTACTTTCAGATTAACGATTTACAGAGTTTTTTTAAAAAAAAATCCAATTTTTGAGCATTGTTCCAAGCTTACGAATATCAGTTTCTTATTAACTCCCCCATTCCTTTCCTTTGGCCCTCAGCAGCAATCCTGCCTTCCTAAACACAAGGAGTTTCTTGTTATAATATTAGGAATGCAGTGTAAACATTAATTAATTAATTACTCAATCAGTTAATATGCCACCCATCTCAGCAAGTCAATAGATTAATAGATATAATCAAATGCACTGTGAATCTGTTAGATAAAGAGTTAATCCAGTGCTGGATTGACTTCGGTTCTAGCAATTTATGCATATGGAGAAAATTTCATATGCAGCTGATTGTATTTTGTCCCCTCTAGCAACTGGCACAGTTGAATCAGTAAGCTATTTTTCAGCCAACTTCATCATCAAAGTAAACATCTTTGTATATTTGTATCTTTAATTATTTCTGTCCATGTTGGTAGTTTTCTCACAATAGTTGCAAGCACAGTGCAAATATTACTAGTCAAAAATGTGGACACAAAGGAGACATAAAATAGTCCAGCAGACCAATTCCTTCCTTCCAGCGTTGCATGCAGAAAAAATTTCTGCATGCAAAATTTCATCCTGAGCATCTCCATGTATGACTTGAAAAGTTTGTATTCAGCAGCCTGGGAGAGTTGCTGCCAGCCAATGAGAATAATGCTAAGCTAGATGCACAAGGGGCATATTCTTATGCAGAATTCTGCAACACTAGATCCTTTCCCTAGTAAATCTATGCAGTTATAAAACATAGGAGGAAAAATGTTTCAACTGAAGAGTCATTTCACTGAAGTCCATGGAAATTGCTTCCCAATAAGCTTGAAGAATAAGAATGCAAATTAATAATGCATTTCTTTTGGTGATGGATTTGGTAGTCTATGTTGAATGGATCCAGTTAAAGTAAAGCTGGTGAAAGCACGCTATTTTAAATCAGATCTAGTCAAATCCATCTGGTTAAACCTGATCAACTCATGGTAAATCAGGACAGATGAAGACAGCAATCAGTTTCTTGGATTAGACTTGGTGGGTTGAGGGATGCAAGTTCCAAACGTGTTAGCTGAATTTAAAAAAAAGATGCTTCAGTGCAGCATTGTAGTTAAGTGAGGCCTTAAAAAGAAATGTTTTTTTTCTTTCCAATAGAAGTATTCCAGTATTTTTTTTTTATGGAAATAAAGCGACTTGCTTATCAGGAATGAGCCAAAATATTAGGGACTTGGACTGAAGAAAGTGTTCCCAGCAGAACTGTGGTGGGCTGAGGGTAGACTGTGAGATATACAGGATGAGCAGGAGTAAGGGAGATCCAAATATGGAATTCCTTCAGATTCTTTAAAGCTAAATTGAGAATCTGATTATCTCACCTTTGCTCATAACTTCCTCTGTTGCTAAATGGAAGGGGGGGGGAATCTATTCATTTTGTTATCCCTGTATTACTTGAATTGCCTAAGGGAGAAATTAAAGCTGTAAATAACAGAGAGCCGTTCTCCCATACTATTTCCTTATTCCATATTGTCAGGCGCGAAAGACCAGGTCTACACGTGAATATCCAATTAAATTGACTTATTGCTAAACAGCCTATGCACAGGAATCTTCTCAACCAATAGTTAGCACCTGCTTGAAGTTAGATAAGGGTCCACAGAATTCAGGAGAGGTTGGACTTAATCCAGTTATTTCTACATAAGGATTCTAGGTTCATCTCTCTTTTGACTCTGTCCCCAGGTTCTGCCACTCCTTCTCCTACAATATATCCTACTGTGATGGATTTACCTATTCTGTGCATTGCATTTTCGGTCTAATTTTAGTAAACAAATCTATGGGGGGAGAGGAGGAAGACGAGGAGAGAGAAAATTGCATATCACACATGTGGCACACAAAATAGTGAGACCCAGCATGGTGCAGTGATTAATGTTGTTATCGAAGCAGGGCAGTCCAGGTTCAAGTCAACTCTCATTCATGAAATTCATCTTACAGACTATGCTACTTTTTGGGCGAGATGAGGGCAGGTGACAGACAGAGAAACCAAACCAGGCTGCCCTGGTAAGGAAGGGATTTTTGGAACTTTCAGATGACAAATAGATATTGCCCAGCCCACATTTACATTAAAAGATAATATACATTTTTTTTTAGAAAAACCCAACTCTGCACTTACTATTAAATATTTAAAGCACTAAGCAGTCATATTCAAGCTAACCAAATAAATTTGTAAAAGCTGTTAGCAGCCTAAACATAAATGAGAAAAACCTATTTTCTTAATAAAGCTCAATTCAGCTTGTTGATTGTTGTTACTTGTTGGCCTTAACCCTTCAGAGTGAAAACTAATCTTAATACTTTAAATGGAATCTAGAAGCAAATAGGCAACTGGTGATCTGCAAATGTCACATTTAAGGGATTATTGGTCCCTATTAGCAACCGGGGGTGTCACATTCTGTTCTACTTCATCACCATCTATTATCACTGCTGTTTAAACTTATTTTGTCTTTTATTCTGGAAGTCAGTTTTGGCCATATTGCCATAGAAATAATCCAGCTTGCGTCTACTTTTAAAGCATTTTAGAAAGGCTTTGAAACAAACAGGAAGGAGGATTTTGCTCAACTCCATGAAATCATTTAGAGATGGGATGGGATTCCGTTGCAGAACTACAATTTCTACCATTGCTCATTCTTGGCTGGGGAATGCTGGAAGTTGTAAGTCAACAAATATTAACAAGCCATTAATTTTCTACCACTGTTGAACTCACCAGGAAGTAAAAAGCTACAATGAAACTGATTTCAAGGTGCATATGATTTATAAAATAGAGATATGATGTGTAAACATGTAAACGGATTCAATAGTTCATTATTGTGAAGCCAAAGGATTACCGTATGCAATTCTTACAGAGAACTAAAATATTAGCAATTATAACCTCTTCTTAATTGAATCTTAAACTTATTAAAACAAAAAATCCCTATGTAATACAAAACTGTGTGTGTGTGTTAGGTCTCAAGATAATTTCAAATAAAACTCCCCTCTGTTTCTCTTTTTTTCCCATCCTTACAGTCATTTTGTCCTATTGCTGTGTCTGTATTCATCACTTTTCAGTACACATTTCACTTAATGTATACATTTTTTTCTAAAATTCATTTTTTTGTATATTTTGTTATTTCCTCCAATATAAATCCACTTTTGTGCTAATTTTCTGTAATGGGTACATTTTCCTGTGTAAATTTTGAATGGAAAATGGTATTCCAAAATTAGGAATAGTACAAATATAAATCTCTTATTGTTTTCTGGTTAACATATATATTTGGTAATTATGTATTTATATGCCTGGATAATATGAATTAGTTCATTTTTAATGATCTAAACAATATTCTCCCCATTCATATATACTGTACAGTTGTTTGTATCTTTTCGTTGACTTCTTTTGTTAATAAATCCCACCTTCTACAAAGCCGAGTGGTGTAAAAACAGAAGCAAGGGTGCTTAATTCTTTCTTAATGTATTTTGTCACTAAGTGCCATCCTGTTGCTGTTTCTTGAAATACCTTTTTCCTTGGAGGGGAAAAAGAACAACATGTATAGTGATTTTAAGCAGAAAACTTGCTGGAGGCAAAAGTATTATGTGTGTTGCAGAATTGTTAGTGGAAAGGAAAAATATAAATTCAATAAATAAAGGAAATTCTTTTGTGTTAGAAAAATACTTGGCTCATGCATTTAGCTCAAAGTCATCTGAAACTGTTTTTCATTCCCCCCCCCCCAAAAAGCAAAATAAAACAAATCAGCAGAATGATACGCATAGCTAGTTTTTAATATCTGATCTTGTCTCTAGATTAATTATCATTATAGTTTTAGGCTTATTTCAATATCAGATGCATATTTTAAATTATCTTATGTATAGGGAGTTTACACCATGTGTCTTTGGTTGCGTATTTGTTATCTTAGAAATTATCTAAGGTAATTTGAAGAGCTATGGTGGCGCAGTGGTTAGAAAGCAGTATTGCAGGCTAACTCTGCTCACAGCGTAGAGTTTGATCCTGACCGGCTCAAAGTTAACTCATCCTTTTATTCTTCTGAGGTCGGTAAAATGAGGACCCATTTGTTGGGGGCAATATACTGACTCTGTAAACTGCTTAGAGAGTGCTGTAAAGTCTAAGTCTAAGTATTCAATATTAGCAGCGTTGACACTAAGTGCTATTGCTATTACTAATCAGTATGGCTGCCATGCTTGCTGGGAACTCTGGGGATTATAGGAAATCAGGAGGAAACCCACTAGATAGGGGAATGTTGATCCGCATCTAGATAAACTCATCCTAGTTCTCACTGAAGTTATTGAGGTGCACCGTTTCAGTCTACAGGTAAGGATCAAATCACTGGATGCTACTGTTTTTAAAAGTGTTCTCTCCACTTACATTATGATGTGGCAAGAGGAAAAGCTGTACTCTAGCCTTTCTCTTTGGCATGCTAGTTTTCCTGTGTGGAAGAACATCCAAGAAGTGGATTCTCCGCCTGCATTTAAAGTGGTACTACCCAGATGCAGGTTTTTCTCCCCAACCAAAGCTAGCCATATGCCCAGTCCTTTTGTATATGGATTTGTGTGTTGCTCAGTGTCACCAGATTTTGATGTTTCTGGACTTTTGTCTCTCTCCCGCTCCCTCTTCTCTTGACAGTTTTTTATCATGCTGTTAATTATATTTGTGCTGGAGCTGACGGTGGTGATTCTGTTCTTTGTCTACACCGACAAGGTATGTCAAGAGAATTTTTTTTCACTGTCTTCTGCCCCTTTCAGCGAATGCTTCTCCCTTCATCAGTAAGTCATGAAGCCTTTCCCTTGGCATGCAGGTCATGTTTTCCCAGACTCTACCACATCTCTGCCTTTCAGGAATCATGTTCTCTGAATGCCTAAATATTTAATGCTCTGGGCTCCCTCTTCCTTTTCCCCCTCTTTCGAGCTTGCTTCCCTTTCAAGGTCAAGCACATTGACAACACAGCCACTATTTAAATATGGAGCAGTTTAATGAGGAAAAACTGATGAAAACTCATGCACTAAAAGCAGATAAAAATCATCACATTAAGAAGTTCATTATGAGAAACAAATGTGCTGAAAATCCCAAATTGGCCATAAGGAAACCAGCTTTGAGGGCTGCACAATCTCAGCTAAGGAATTGTGGAATTACAGTCTTCACGTGTTGCAGAGGTGGCAAGATGGTGTAGATCTAAAATTAAGAAATATAAAGTGAATGAATTAGATGTGATAATGCACAAATAAAGCTTGACAATGTAAAAAAAAGTTACCTGGTAGTGCTGATAATACTTGCTACCATTCAACAGAGAAGTCTGCTCTGATGGCATGCCTGAGAAGAGGAATGCCACCGTGTTCCTTAAACTGCTCCTATTTATGGAGCCAAAAAGCAGAGTTTTCCAGAACTGTCACAGTACGTCTTAACCACAATTTCCTTCCCTAGGTGTTTCTTTTTAAGCCATCTGCTCTTTCCTTCCACTTCCCTTTCCCAGCCCAAGCGTAGAAACTAAAATTCCCCCCTTTCTTCCCTACCTTTTGGCACTACTTGCCCAAATCAAAGATTCAGTTCCACATCTCATAACAAGCTTCAAAAGAAGCAGTTTACATTAAGAGACAAAAGGAAATAGGCTATCGTCTATCTTTTATCTTGTGAGCGATAGGATAATGTTTAAATTTCATGTGTTGATATTTTTTATCCCTCTTCTTTAAGCAGCCAGTTTAGTTTGGAAAATATTGATGATTCTGTCCTCCCCATTCGAAATTGATAATTTTGCTGCTGAAATTCAATGTCAGTTATGAGAAAGCCAGAATTGTTTGTTACAATACATTACCCTGATATCTTTTAAGATAATGGGAAATAATGTTCCAAAAAATTAACTTTGTACCAACAGGAAATACTAAATCAACTTGTATGGAAGATAATTTATGTTGTCGGTAATTGTTTTAACTTCGTCTGTTCTGAAGGCTTATGAATAAATTGCAGCCCCTTAAGAAGAGAAACGTATCCCAAAAGTGATTTCCAAAAGTCAACTGGATTTTCTTTGTTTTTTTTTCTTTGAAGACATTTTCACTTCTCATCCAAAGAAACTTCTTCAGTTCTGACTGAATGGTGGGGAGAAGGGCCCAAGGACCTAAATATTTTAACATTTCTCAGTTTTAATTTCTACTACATTACCTATTGGTAGATATAACCCACATAAACTTTGGGTTCTTTGGGGTCCTCAGTCATTTTAAGAATGTAAAGGGGTTCTGAGGCCAAAATGTTTGTGAACCATTGGTCTATAGGACATTTGATGGCATGAAACAAAGACTATCACAATGTAGATTGTTGCCCCATTGGTAGAAAGGAGGATAGGCAGAGGTGCTTAACCAGATCAGCCACACACTATAAATAATTTACAACTATTTTGTAATATGAAGTTGTTTAAATGTATTTAGAACTTTTTTCTCTATATGAGTTGATGGTGAATTTTTGTATTCTCCTTTTTGCATTCTCCGCTAAGAATAAAATAAGTTCTTGAAGCTACAGGAAAAAAACCTTATCCACTTAGACCAATATTTTCTTTTTTATTGGATAACTTTTCTGAGTTATATATTTGTTACTTTGAAAGTAAGAAGTTGAGTTTTACACTTAATCAGATCAGTGTCCAGCTGTAGTTGCTATTCTCTCACAGTGCTCAGTTCTTTTGAGTCACGGTACTTCTCTTGTACAAGAAATCCATTAACTGGAATGAAGATGGGGCTTCATGCATTCACCATGTGCATGCTACCTCTGCTCTAATGATAAAAATAATTAATATTTCTCTAGATCACTGCATTCAATTTGATTATTTTCCAGAGCTTTCCCTTATTTTTATGGACAAAATAAGTTTTCATCCTGCCTCAGAAAGCAGTAGTCAACTTGAAATATTGAAGAAAATTGAGTATTTGATTTTCCATAATCCTCACAAAGTTTAATTTGACTTCATTTAGATGGCACTGAGAAAGGTTGTGCCTTTATTGTTTTTTTCCACTGTCTTCTTTAAATCTTCCATATTCCTTATTTGTGAAACAGAGCCCTACCCAATTCCAAGGAAGCTCCTCTCGTCTCCTCCCTTCCCCTCCCTTCCCCTCCCCTCCCCTCCTCTCCTCTCCCTTCCCCTCCCCTCCATGGGTCAACATTGTTTAACCATCCTTTGCCATCTCCAAGTTGCTCCCTAAATATTCAAATTGTGCTGCTGGTCAAATTAAAGGTTATCTGCCTGATTCAATTGTTTCTTGATACCCCCATTTCTATTTCTCTCCATCTTCTTAATTTTCACCCATCATTGCTGGCTTTCTTGAGGGCTGAGTGAAGGTCTGCGAGGTGAAGATATACTTTGTTGGAGGTATACTGGGTGTACAAATAGTCCTTGACTTATGACCATTCATTTAATAAGTGTTCAGAGTTATGGTGCTGAAAAAAGTGACTTATGACCAGTCCTCAAATTTATGACCATCACAACATCCCCATGGTCACATGATCAAAATTTGGGCACTTGGCAACCTGCAATGTATTTATGACAATTGCAGTGTCCTGGGATCACGTGTTCAGCATTTGCAACCTTCCGAGGGGGCTTCCAACAAAGAAAGTCAATGGGGGAAGTCAGATTTGCATAATAATAATGACAACAACAACAACCATAATAACAATAATAATAATAATAATCCACATCTGCCTATCCCAGGTCCTTGGTAAGGACTCGATAGGTAGACAAAAATGTCAAATCCAGTCTGAACATCTGGCTGACTGTGCAATGAATAATAATAATAACAATAATAACAATAATAATAAAGTTGGAACGGACATTGGAAGTCATTTAGTCCAACCCCCTGCTCAGGCAGGAAACCCTATACCATTTGAGACAAATGGCTGTCCAGTCTCTTCTTAAAAACTTCCAGTGTTGGAGCATTCACAGCTTCTGGAGGCAGGTTGTTCCACTGATTAATGACTGTGTTGATTCATTTAATGACCACAGCAAATTAGGTTGTAAAATCCGGCACAACTCCCTTACTGACCGCATCATTTAGTGATGGAGGTTCTGATCCCAGTTGTGGTCAAAGACTACCTCAATAGCATAGATGATGTAGTCCTCTCAGCCCACTCAGCATGGCAGATAGGGGAAACTGGAATCTAGCCCAGTTCTAACTGGAGGGTGATAAATTCTCTGCCCTGCTATAAATGCATTGTTCTTCCACAAAGAGGAATGTGCATGTTATTTTAAGATAACTACGTCAGACTTGCCTGAGGGCAAGTGTGAGTACTATATTTTCAGAGTAACAATGCTTTTAGAAATACATAATTTCAAATATTAACTCTCTAAATAATACACTAGTAATAACTTATTCCGCCCTTCCACTTTTAACATCTGTGTTTATATTTTCATTATGAAAGTTTTCCCAAAGGCAATAATAAAGACCAGATTTACTTGCTTTCGCAACATTGTTTATCATTCTCTAATAGATAGGTTTATTCAGATTTTTCCCTTTCTTTGTTTGATTTATACAAAGAACTTTGGTGCTGCAAACGGGGAATCATAATTCTAGGATTAAAGAAACATACTCAACAAAAGGTCAAAAGTAATTGGAAAGTAGCTGTATTATGAGGATTATACATATTATTGGACCCAAGTTGTGGTTTCAGAATTTAAAAGGTGCAAATAATCTTAGTAGATTGGAAGTCCAATAAAGGATTAGAACAGAATAAAATATTGTCTTGGCAAATCAGGATAATATAAAAAAATGGTAGAGAGGTAGTTGATAAGAAAGGGTTGGAAGTTTGGCTCCTGCCACTCATCCCTGGCAAATGCCTCCTTCCTTAGGCTTCTGGGTTTACTGTTAGATTTCATATAGCAGCAGATTTAGAAGTTGGACAAATAATCCAGTATTAATTACTAGCAATAAGAATTACAGAAAGGGGGGGAAAATACAGAACTCCATGTAAGTGCAATTGGATTAGATAAGAGGGTATTCTAAAGGGTTAGCACCAGTTAAAGTAACATAATATGATCCTCCTCTGCTCACGATTAAAATGGAACTTAAAGCATGGCGAAACTTTTCATTAACATGGCTTTGTAGGACTCAAGTTAAAAGGACCATTCTTCCTCAAATCCCGTTAATGTTTCAACAGTCCTGATTCTACTGCATACTACTTGGCTTTGTATATGTAAAGATGGTTTTTTTTTCATTTATGCACAATGATTAAGATCAATAATTACGGAAACTGTGCAATGTAAGCAAACTCTGATGGAAGTTTACTAAGCATACCAAATAGGAAATACGTTAATGCCATTCAAGTATTGCTCTTCCTGGAGAGGTTCTTTTCCCAGATGGGCAAAGTCACAGGGGGCTGAAGATGTCATTTTTAAAGAAGTTTGATTTTAGACATTAGCTTGAAGATTAGCCTGAGTTGACTGGAGCTAAATTATCTGCTAAAGTTGACGTAGTTGTAAGGCTTCTCTTCCTTTGCTTTCCTTCCTTGTCTTGTCTCAATTCCATCCAGTTTTATTTCTCTCTCTTTCCTTGATTCAACTGTGAAAACGATTGGTTGATATTTGTAGATAAGGAATCAGTTAATAAATATTTTTTTGTTCTGGCCAGCCATTATTTTGTAGTGTGGCTAGGTACGTTTCTATGTATACACCTACGTATCTTGAGATATATACATGTTTTGAGTATGCATTTGTTGAGGGATGGATGGTATTC